GTAGCCAGGAACCAAATCGCAGGTGCGAACCACCAACCTTAATCCATCCCAGTGGAGGGATGCTTGAATCACTTATCGATAATTAAAATCAAATCCCCCCTCTTGGCTGCGGCACGCTTGCCCCGAAGAAATTCAATCAAATACACAGCTCCACTTACTAAATCTTGCACTCCCCCCCTTTTGTGCGACTAGTAATACACCTCGAATTCACGGGCTGTATGAAGTCTTGTCGACTCCAGGTCGTGTCGTAACCTCGTTCATCTTGCTCCTTGCGCATCACCACCCTACGACACCCAGCGGTAGCCCATCACCGCCCTGGTCGACGACAAGAGCTCTTCGTAGCTGGCCACCTTCGTTTCCTGTCTGCGGACCACGCCTCACCCATCATGGCCGCCAACACCAGTTTCGCCTCGCCGCTCGCCGGTGTCTCTGGGACCCTATTCCCAATCCCTCCCCAGATTGAGGGCATCTTCGATACCATCAGCAGCTTCGGCTTCTGGCCCATCGCCTTTTCCGTTCTGGCCCTCCTGGTGGCCTATGATCAGAGTACGCAGGATTCCCTTCCTCACACTGCCGTACTCATCCAGTCGAACTTGCGCGCTGACCCCAACTGACTCCTGCAGTTAGCTACCTGCTGAACAAGGGCAGCATTGTTGGCCCTGCGTTCAAGGAGCCCTTCATTGGTCCTTTCCTGCAATCCGTGAACCCTAAATTCGAAGAGTACTATGCCAAATGGAAGAGCGGTCCCTTGAGCTGCGTCTCTGTCTTCCACAAGTATGTCATCCCAAACTGCGGCCCATTGGAGCGCGCACAGCTGACAGAAGCAATCAATTAGGTTCGTCGTCATTGCGTCCACCCGTGATATGGCCAGAAAGGTCTTCAACTCCCCCGGCTTCGTTAAGCCTTGCGTCGTCGATGTCGCCCACAAGCTCCTTGGTGACGACAACTGGGTGTTCCTTGACGGCAAGGCCCACGTCGATTTTCGCAAGGGTCTCAACGGTCTCTTCACCCGCCGAGCGCTCCAGTCCTATCTCCCCGGCCAGGAGGACCTGTACAACCGTTACTTCGACCGCTTCCTCCGTGTCACGAAGGAGGCCGATAACAAGCCCGTTCCTTTCATGAGTGAATTCCGCGAGATCATGTGCGCCGTCTCTCTCCGAACCTTCTGTGGACATTACATTTCCGACGAGTCAGTCAAGAAGATCGCCGACGACTACTACCTGATCACCGAGGCCCTCGAGCTTGTCAACTTCCCCATCATTCTCCCCTTCACCAAGACCTGGTATGGCAAGAAGGCCAGTGACATGGTTCTCGCCGAGTTCTCGAAGGCATCCGCCAAGAGCAAGGCCCGTCTTGCGGCTGGTGGCGAGCCCAACTGTATCATGGATGCCTGGATCAAGAACATGCTGCTGTCCAAGAAGTGGACCGAGGCCGACGCCAAGGGCCTGCCAACTGAGAACATCGAGAAGCCATCCCCTCTGCTCCGCGAGTTCAATGATTATGAGATCGCCCAGACCATCTTCACCTTCCTCTTCGCCTCCCAGGATGCCACCAGCAGCGCCGCCACTTGGTTGTTCCAGATCATGGCCCAGCGACCTGATGTTCTCGATCGTGTGCGCGAGGAGAACCTCAAGGTCCGCAATGGTGATATCCACGCCGCCGTTGACCTTGACCAGCTTGAATCGATGACCTACACCCGTGCCGTCATTCGTGAGCTTCTTCGCTACCGCCCTCCTGTCCTGATGGTTCCCTATGAAGTCAAGAAGCCCTTCCCCATCACTGATTCGTACACTGTCCCCAAGGGTAAGTCGTTAGACATTGGATCTCCAATTGTGCGCTCTCTGCTAACCACGCGACATAGGCGCCATGATTATCCCCACTACCTACCTCGCACTCCGTGACCCCGAAGTCTACGACAACCCCGATGTTTTCGACCCCGAGCGTTACTACACTGGTGACGCCGAGGCCAAGGGTGTGAAGAACTTCCTCGTTTTCGGAACCGGACCTCACGTGTGCCTCGGACAGCACTATGCTCAGCTCAACTTGGTTCTTTTCGTTGGAAAGGCGTCGCTTCTGCTCGACTGGAAGCATCATCCTACCCCGCTCTCCGAGGAGATCAAGGTGTTTGCCACCATCTTCCCTAAGGTATGTCGGAGCAAAGTATCAGTTGGAGTTTTCGCAAATTTGCATGATATGCTAACGATTCGTGTTTTGTAGGACGATTGCCCTTTGACTTTCCAAGAGAGAAAGTGGTAAATTTCGGGACGTTGGAACATGGCCAGTAATATGATGGGCCAGAGATTCGAACAATCCCATACCCGCACCCCAGCAAGAGAATCATGCGATTCTGAGCAACGGACCAAAAAAACGAACCATGGCCCCTTAGCGGCCAAATTGATGACCCCCACAAACCTGCAAAATGGGGACCCAATAATGGAATAGACCCCCAGCAGACGGCGAAGTAGACAAAGATCTCATAGACACGGAAGCCCTCCTACAGATTCGAGGCCTGGCGCACTTATAATTACACGAGTATTTCTCGGAAAGACTGCCCCAACAGTCATTTTAATTGGCATGGTTAAAATAAAGTGTTCTTATTTTTCTTACCCTGAGTTCGTTGGATGAAATCGTGTGAATTATGATGGCACAGCAGCCATTTCCTTTTGAAGTCTTTGCTCTCCTTGGCCACCTAAATAACAGCATTACTCTCTCGTCAATACCTCAACATTGATCCTGCAACATCATACATACGGCACCTAGGCAAAGGGGGGATCTAGAGATGACTTTGTCTTAGGGAGAATACTGGAGGGTTACTTAGGCGGAAAGCCCCTGGCATTCTGGCACCCTGGCTCGGGCATAATCCCTTGTATATAGCTCCCTATGGTATAACTCCGTTCTTAATCGACTTGCATTGCTGATGTAAGGCAAAGCAGCAATCTGTCCGAACTTCGGTGATCGTGAAATCCGTACGCGGTCGACTGTCCAAACAAATGATTGGGGTTTCGCAACGCAGCTCATACATCATGTACGCTACTTTCTCTGCCATTACCTTGTATCAAGAGACCTCTTGATTCAACAATAGGGTGACCTTGATTGTAGTCGTGGTTAAGGTATCGCTGAATGTTCAGGTCGCTGTCGATCGTAGACAAGCTCCCGTGAGTCATCAACCCTTGACTCCTTCGAGAGTACCTAGCAACCTTGAGTATATTCTCCCAACACTGTTAAACCGCTTGAGATATGTCTAGTATAGCGTTGTCCTTGATCTACAGCCCCGCAATTTGACTACAATTAGGGCGCGCCTTAATTCTTATCAATGAGTGAGGCATGCACAAACATGAATACTCAGAATTCGGCGCCTCTTATAACCTCGTGGCATTATCCGGCCCTTCAATTGACAGCACTCAATGCCAATTGATCATTCTCTTCATTCATAATCTCATTTGTAGCCATGTCCTCTGCACTTGTATACGGCGGAGGGTGTATCGGAGCGGTATCGGCCTACTTGCTCTCCAAGAAACTGAGCCCAGAACGCATCGCCCTTATCTGCCGGTCCAACTACAACGAAATCAAAGAGAATGGCATCACGATCAACTCGGGTCTTTGGGGCTCGCAATTGAACGTGCGGCCTGCCGTGTTCCAGTCAGTCGACGCTGCTGTTACGGAGCAAGGCTTCGCATATGACTACGTCTTCATCACGACAAAGACGCAGTCCAAGGAGGACACAGACACCGAGGCTGTGGCGCCGGCCATCTCCTCTACTACGGCCATTGTGCTCATGCAGAATGGCGTGGGCATCGAAGACCCCTGGCATACCAAGTTCCCAGACAACCCCGTCATCAGCGTGGTCATGTACTTGCCAGTCACACAGACGCAACCCGGTGTGTTCTCCCACGTACTCTACCACGTATTCCAGATTGGCACGTTTCCGCACAATGCGCCCGAGCAGCATCAATCGATGGCAAGGAACCTGAGCGACATCCTGAGCTTGAGCGGAGCCAAGGCGACGGTCTTTGACGACGTCCAGCCGTGCCGATGGAGGAAGATGCTGGTGAACGGATCAGAGAACCCAATCTGCGCAATTGTCCAGCTACCAGACGTGGCCTTCTTCCACAGTAGTCCCGGCGCGACCCAGTTCACCCGCGACGTCATGGTAGAGATTGCCTCCGTGGCTCGTGCGGCAGGGTATCCCGCCATTACGGACCAGGTCGTGCAGGAGCAGCTGGATGTGATGACAGGCCGGCCGTTCCCGGGCGTCGAGCCGAGCATGATGGCCGATGCGATGGCGGGACGGCAGATGGAGGCTGATGCCATCATTGGGAATGTGGTGCGGATGGGGGGCCAGTATGGGGTTGAGACGCCGCGGCTGAGTACGCTCTACTATCTTATCCAGGGTCTGAATTATCGTCATAAGCATGGCGTGCCTGTTAGAGGATGAAGACACATGGGGCTCTCATGTAGAAATAGACCAAATGTTTTAGAGTACTCCTCCCGAGCATTACGGCGGGGTTGAGTGGCGGTGGGATTTTGTAGCTAACACACCACAGACCGTGCCTACGAGAAGTGACGATCGCGAGAACATGAGATTATGCATTACGCTATATGGTAGATGACCTACGTTATCACGTCACACTATACACATTAGTAAAAGTGTTTAGATACCCATATGGAGGGATAGCATTCAGCTCCATTAGTTCCGGGCTAGACAGGCGAAACATAAGCCAAGTTATAGTATTCAAAAAGATCTTCTCTCTAAGTAGAAACTCTCCAAGCTCATACATTTGTCCTCTCGCTTATGCACATCAACTAGAGTTTTATCCAGGAATCAAGCCATAGAGTATTTTCTATTTACATAGATGAACAGCCTCCTTACCTATCTACATTTCTCAGGGAAAACCTTCTTCAGGACTAAAAACCCTTCCTCCTCCAAGCTAATAATACAGATTGATCCCACCAACTGGGCCACCGTTCTTTCAACCCTTGCCCTTAGAGCCAGCAAAAAGCTATTCATCGTCATACTCAAGGCCCCGTCGACCCCTAGGTGGTGGTGAGGGCTTGGGCCGTGAACCACCACCCTTGGGCACATTCACTCCGCGAGCGAAGAGATAATCATCATCATAGCCGAGATCCCGACCTCTAGGTGGTGGTGAAGGCTTTGGTCGTGAACCACCACCTTTAGGCACGTTTACGCCTCGAGCAAAGAGAGACCTTCGACCCCTGGTGGGTGGTGGTGAGGGCTTGGGTCTTGAGCCACCACCTTTAGGCGCGTTCACTCCTCGAGCATAGAGAGACCTTCGGCCTCTGGTGGGTGGTGGCGAAGGTTTAGGTCTTGAACCACCACCTTTAGGCACGTTTACTCCGCGAGCAAAGAGAGACCTTCGGCCTCTGGTGGGTGGTGGTGAGGGCTTTGGTCGTGAACCGCCACCTTTAGGCGTATTGACTCCGCGAGCGAAGAGATACTCATCGTCGTACCCGAGAGACCTTCGACCAGTAGGTGGTGGAGAGGGCTTAGGTCGTGAACCACCACCCTTAGGCTTGTCAACGCTACGAGCAAAGAGAGACTCCTCATCGAGTAGGTCCCGAGCCTCCAGCTCGTCGTCTTCATCCCTCTCCTCAATCTCGAGCTCGGGAAAGCGGGCCACAAGCTCAGCGGTGGCATCGAGCTCTACACCTCGGGCAGAAAGATCGGTGGCTTCCTCGGCGGCAAGACCGTTTGAAGCGAGACCAAGAGATAAGAGAGCTGCAAAGCTGAGATTCTTGAAAGCAACCATTTTGAAGGCTAGTCAACAAAAGTTTTAAAGAAAGTTCTGAAAATTCACCAATAGGGGGATAGAGAAGTAAAGGAAAAGAAAAAAAAACAAAAGGTAAGATAAGGAAATAAACACCGAATCTAAAAGAGACTGATGTTATACGTTTGCTTGTTTAATAAAGAAAAGAAAGTCTAGGCTGTTGTCTAGAGTATTCAGGTCTTTTATACTTCTTCCAGCCTCTACTATTATTAATCCTAAGTTTCCTATAATAGTCTTAACACAAGGAGAAACATGTCCATCAAGCGAACCATCTCTCACTTACTCACATCACGTAACCTGTTCTCATGAGGTTGAGGTAGCTCCCGGAATAGCGGAGAGTGATTAGACCGACTGGCGGGTGCAGTTAGAAGACGATCTCAAACAGGCCTAGTTGGCCAGTCTCCCTATTCGGATTCGGCAAATCGATCCTTAGACTGCCTGCTCACCTGCTCGGCGAAATACGTTTTGAGTTAGATCTGCGCCTCCGAAATCAGATACTACATATATTATTAAGCGTTACAAAAGTTTCCTATACTATTGTGTAGGTCTCTTTCAAGGGTCAATAGTTAGGATTCAAGAATGGTAAGACGAATGTAACTAAGAGGCGGTCTAGTTCAAGCCCTCTGATCACTGGCTGCCGACCCTCCTAGCGAGGAGTGTTAAGGTGTTGGTGCCTTGTAGTAAAGTAAAACATCAACACCTCAAACTTGTACGTATATTATCCATTTAGGAGTACTTACATCTTCACATAATCCGGCACTCAGCTTGCTGTGGCGAATGGCGCAAGATCTAACTAACTTCATTGCAAAGTTGGCTTCTAACCCAAAAAGCGCCTTCAGTGTAGGTATATGAAACGGAGTCCTTGTGAGTGTCATTTAGTAATCTTGCCGGCACGTGCCTTGCCATATAGAGCCGTCGACTGACACTATCCCTCCTTATCCCAACCCGCCAATTTTCCTAGTAACGTTGCACGGGTTTGTATATCCTGAACCATCCGGAGCTAGACTTTGTACCTTGCAGGGTTTTCGCCCGCCTGAGAGGACTAGACAAGGAGGTACTTGGTGTGCAGCCTATCTCAGGTGAATAATCAAATATTTATGATTTGTACTCGACGAGTGACCTTCGCCACTAGTCAGAATTGTAGCCATAGTTCGATATTCTAGGGCCTCTATTAATATCTTCTAGTATGTTTTGTATAGGATCAACAAGCGAAGGAAATGCCTGGCTGTAACTTCCGATGCCTCCCGGATACAGTTTTGGGTTTGTCAGCGTGATATTCTAAACACGGCCTCCCCTCGGGATTTCGGGCTTACTATAAGGCTACGACATGCCAGCAATTTGAAATAGGTGGTCATTAGCTCCGCTATATTTAAGTTGATGAGAGGGACCTGCTTCTTGAAGGCAGCGGATGGGTTGAATGAGTCGGTCCGACTCTTGGGCTGTTTATGCTTCAAAAGCTGTTACGAGCAACCAGCTGGGCTTTTCAAACGGAAGCCCTGTTTGCTGTGTTTAGCGTCCCTAGAACTGCTAGGTGCAATAGTCTGTCCAGCGTCAAGGCTATTGTTGATGTTCACAGTCTGACTGCTATAGATCGTGCTCAACTTTCTCTTTGAGCTTGGGCACCGGATCCTGCCCGAGGAGGCTGATCGTGTTTCAAGCTCATATAGAGCATCACCCGCACCTGGGGCGATCCCACTTCGTTCTTCTTCTTCGTCTATGACCAAGGCCGCATCTCAGCAAAGGCTGGGCCCCTGAGAGACGTTCTAGAGGGCGAGAGAGCAACCTTGCCTGACGAGCGAGTGATACAACACATGGCACACCAAAGCGCTGTTCACATAAGTCAGAGATCTCATTTTTTTGTCCATGATACTAAGTACAATAATAATAATAAGAAAATTGATAATTATTGTTCTATAGTATTTAGCTTGATATTGTATTGGTAACTAATTAATCGTGTTGATATTATTGTGTTAAAGTTCAACGCTGGAGGTTCCATGTGTGCCATGTTCTATGTCAGTCGCTTGCCTGCCTAATTGACCTAGTTATCTTTACAAAAATGTGTGATGTTTCTCTCGTCATGCTGGGCGATTGCTGCGTAGCTGACCTGACTAGTCGTCTGCTATTAAGAAAGGATCTCATCGCGTTCCGTCAACATAGACTGGTAGACGATCGCTGCAGACCTGACTGGCTGTCTGCTGCTGCAATAAGTAATTGTTGCGAGCTGAAATATTTGTCGTAGCGTAGCTCTAGCTATGGTGCATCTAGTCTCTAAAGAGCATGTCCTCTGACAGTATGTTTATCACAACAGTCTTTTAGTTGCATAGATAGCTGAGCCACCATTGACTGATAAATGTTTGGTAGACTTTTGTAACAGGCTGTCAGTAAACAAACAGCTGTGGCACCAACTTAACCCTTTCAGGTAGATCGGAATGGTCAAAACTTTTGTTGACGATAGGAAAGTTTTGGACATCCTGCACTAGCCCTAATGATTGTTTTGAGTGCTGTGAGGAGATCCCTATGGCGCGCGATGTCTGATCCACGGTCTAAATTATCAAGCATGGTGCACCTGCTAAAGGGTAAGGCGGGGAGCCTGAAGCTGTCATATGGAAATAGACCAAGTCAATGCGTGTTTGGGGGTTGTCCTCCCGTGCGTCCCTCCATTGTCTTGATTGGCCACGGCGGCAGAGAGTGAGAGCATGGGGTGATGCATTCCGCTCTGAAAGATGACTTGCGTCGCAATGTTACACATTTCAGCGGAAGGGGAAAAAACAAAAATCGGCTTCATTGGTTCCGCGACAGAATAAAAGGAACATTCACAACTCAATCAGACCACGGACGCGATGCTCTGGGTTTGCTTCCCGCGATATCTTAGCCCGTGGCTGGAATTAGAGTTGCCATGTTGCTGCCTGGGAGAGATGTACCTGATCGCAGACTGGCATGTACAAGCATCGTACCTGCCTACGTCAAGTCCACATGACGGGAGGCTCTTCGGACAGGGGTGTAGTCGGTTTAAAAGTCTTGAATTTCGTTGCAGTGCTTTGGGGCAAGTCTCGTCTGCTTCTGCTGTCTGTTTCGCCTGTGAGAATATCGAGCCATGCCTATGTATGGATTGAAGAGCTGATTACCTATCCTCTAGCAGTACGTTAGTGCTGAGCTTGAGCAACCTTGAAGTTAGTGGAGGTACTGTACATGTACATAAAGGGCGCTATGCCGTCTTGGGGCGACAACCAAGACAATGACGCGCGCCACAAGAGGCCCAAGCCCAGGCCCAAGGCTGGGAGCTATTCCCTTCCACTAGCACTAAACTGTAGGTGCTTTGGCGCTACTACAGCCTGCCACCTAAAGACATAGATCCGGACAAGCATCCAGACTTGGTCAACTTGTCATGATCCTCGCTCCGTCGTAACTCGTCATCCTGTTGACGACGACATCCACCCTCCGTGCCCCTTCGCGTCGCCCGACTTCCCGCCCAGCGACGAGCGCCGTCGTCAATTGATATTCATGCTACTCGGATCTACGCCGTGACGCTCGCGCCAGAGCTTTCGATCCCTCTCCCTCGCCGCTCTCCGCCACCCCTCGACCCCGAATCTTCCTCATCAACCCAGACAGGGCAGACGAACGCGAAACCTGAGCCTCCCCGACGCCGCCGTGCGGCACCATAGCTGCCAGCATGTCGCTCGCCCAGGGTATTGCCTCTATGGCGACCCAGATGATGAGTACGTCGACGATAAGTCTGGGCGATGCTCCCTCCGAGCCGTGTCTTTGCTGCGCGCCTCGACAGCCCACCCGCTACGTTGTGTAGAACCGATTCACTGACATTGCGCTCCCAGAACGTGGAGATGACGATTCCGATCCCGGAGGTGCGTTCGAACCAACTTGCGAAACGGTGTCAGAACATTGTTGTCCATCACAGAAGATGCCTATGGAAGCGACCTCGAAGTGCTTGACATAAGTTGACACCGCGGGCTGTTATATCGCGTATGCTAACTGCCGCCTGCAGGAGGCGACTCGGCCAAGGAGGAGGTATTCAAGGCCTGGGCCATCTTCTTATGCATCATGCTGCTCATCGCCGCCTTCTTCGCTAGTTATGTTCTCCAGCAGAGGAAGATCACCGCCATCCACGAGACCGTCGTTTCCATCTTCGCTGGTAGGTTACCAAGAGCCGTACTGGGCAATGTCTTGGTTGCCATCGGCGCTGACCTTTGATCTATTATAGGCATGTGTGTCGGTCTTGGGCTTCTCATTTTCTCGGGCGATTCTGTTCGCACCATCATCAGCTTCGACTTCCAATTCTTCTTCAACCTCCTTCTGCCGCCGATTATTCTCGCATCAGGTTATGAACTCCACCAAGCCAATTTCTTCCGCAATATAGGCATTATTCTGACCTTTGCCTTCGCTGGAACCTTTCTGTCCGCTGTGGTCATCGGCCTGATCCTTTTCCTCTTTGCGCTGCTGCCAGGGACCCCAGACTTGACCTTTGTCGATGCCATCTCGGTCGGCGCCACTCTCTCAGCGACGGACCCCGTCACCATTTTGGCTATTTTCAATGCGTACAAGGTTGACCCGAAGCTTTACACTATCATCTTCGGCGAGTCTATCCTGAATGACGCCGTTGCCATCGTCATTTTCGAGACCGCGCAAAAGTATAAGCAGGGTGGAGACTCTCATAGCTCATCATACGGCCTGGTCAGCTTCTTTGAAGGAACTGGCATCTTCTTGCTCCTCTTCTCTAGCAGTTTGGCTATTGGTGTTGTTGTTGGTGTCGCTACCGCTCTCCTGCTCAAGTTCACTTACATCAGGCGGTTCCCCAAGATCGAAAGCTGTCTTGTCCTTCTCATCGCTTATGCGACGTACTTCTTCTCTCATGCTGTTCATCTATCCGGTATGCTCTCCTTAGTCTCAGCAGATTGCCCATAATGCATTGCGCAGGGTGGCAAGCTAACAAACTACGCTCCAGGTATCGTATCACTCCTCTTTTGTGG